AATGAGAGAGTAAATGCTCTGGAGGGGAAAGTGCCGAGTTCGTTTTATTAAAATTTAGCTATCAAATGGAAGATAACAGAGCTTTCAATTGAATGCGTTTAAGAACCCATTACATGATTATAGTACTTCGGGTACTTCATTTAATGGTTATTAAAATAGAAGTAAGTTTGTCGGCTAACTCCACTTGAGCTACGGTTCTGCAGTACGTTAATATAATTACAAAATATCTAAAGATGGAAATTGTAACTCAACATTTTTGGCATTCCTTAAAGCGAATATCATCATTCTAATTTGTACTGTTAATCTAAGTGTGTGTTTGAAGTTCGGCGGTTTAGTTACGATAAGCAAAAAAAAACTCCTTCGGATCAAGGCTTCTTTGTTATTACTTCCTGGAAGTACTTTGTTTATTGAAACTTTTATTTCTAATGAGGCATAGGGATCCTGTCAGTTCTCGTTTAAAACTTTATGAATTTGTGAGTTTATGAGTGCTTTCAAGAACTGCTTTTATCAAGATATCGAAATTATGTAACTATATGCGCAAAACTAATTGTTTATTGTTTTGCCAAACACTTTACTGTGATATGGCAATTTACTGTAGGGAAAAGTAGAACACAGCCGTAAAGAAGTCAATAGATTTCTGTTTAAAACCATTACCTGAAGTTAACTCTAGGTTATCAGATAATTTGAAGTAGTTTAGAAAATTGCTGTTAATTTTTTTTACATTACGCTTGAGTATTCGACGTCAAGAGGTCCAGTTAGAACTTATTTGTGAAAATATGAATACGCATGAATGTTTTTTTTTAATAATCAAGTTATTGCTTTTAAACTTCCGTGACTTGTGCAAATTTTGGCATAATCACAAAAATGATTATAAAGTTTAAATTGAATCACACCACTCGCGCTTATTATTTTATTCGTACTGTCGGTATTTCGACACACTACATTCATGACTTCGTCTAGTACTGACACTTGCTTTTAATGAGATTCCAATATCTGCAGTGTAGTTTTAACAAGGGCTATGTCATTTATTGCGGTTTTAACATTTTGGTACCATTAGATGAAGAAAGACCACGGGCTTTGTTTCGACCAGTCTGAAAGGATTAAGATAATCCATAGCGCCGCATTTTTCAATAAAACTCACACTGCGTAAGTAAATCTACATGGTCACTCAAGTGCTTATAAATTCGTAATCCACAAAATGATTCATGAGATTAAAAATGCTAATTGAGAGAACAAGTATCACAACATTTTAATATATTTTTTTACAAAAAAATATTTCATAAAATGTTGCTCCACCTTAAGCGGAATAACAGTTATTTTGCTCTTCTGTAAATTTGACATTTTTGACTTACGCTTTGTTAGAAACTTTACCGATGAAATATTGACAATCAATAAACGTCTTCTCGATACAATTTTTTTATACATTGATCCAGTAACGTAGGTCTACACAAAATGTATCTAATTACTTTATTTGTGTTCTTGAAACCAAGATACTAGTATCAATCTAGATTCAATCTAGATTGATACTAGTATCTACACTAGTACTGCACCTAGTATCAATTTAAATTGTTGTGTTAATAAGTCCTAAGACATTAATAATCACATTAGATACCTTATCAATTACCGATTATTTACTCGAAACAGTAAAATAAGGTTAGCACTTATCTATTTTGTAAAAGAAGAAACTGACAGACTGATCGATCAACGCACGGCTGAAACCGCTGGGTCTAGAAGCATGAAATTTTGCACAAATGTTCCTTAGGTGACGTAGGTGGGCACTAAGAAACGATTTTTTTTTAAATCCACCAGTAAGGGTGCAAAATTGGGTTGTAAATTTGTATGAAACTTTGTTATTTTTGATTGTAGCGTTTTTAAACTCATAGTAAATGGTCTACTATTTTTTTACTTATCGATTCCAAACTCTCCGTATAATTAATATGATGTCTGATGTTGACCACCACCAGTCGCGGTCAAAAACTGGTTATTTATATACATACATACACTCAATCCTACATCCCCGGAGGGATAGGTAGAAAAATCGTATTTTGCTTTTACGAATGCATTACGGGAAGGTAAGCAAATAGATAACTATGAGTATAAATAATTTAGATACCTGCACTAGTTTTATTTATAACATTGAACAAGTTCCTATTTCAAAAATTAAAAATCACGTCTTTAATATTTCTACAAACGAATGGACTTTTTCGTTTTGGGATTTTTTCGTTTCGAAATGGCGCCATTCAATCACCAAATGGATTTGCTTAAAAAATGTAGACAATCGGTAATTGCCATTCCGAACGACGTAAGGATTCAATCGATACCCTATACATTTAAATCTGTTAAGGATAGTGTGGTGGAATAAATAAAAAACATATATGTAAAAAAACCCTGGAAACAATATCTGTTCTTTTTATTGGGCTTCCGTTGTTCACTCCGGCACTTCCGGCTTCACAGAGTAAGTGTACACAAAGTTACACATCCAGGCCCTACTATTTGCAAATCTGTTGATCTTATATCAACAGAATAAAAAAACACCTATTTTATTTGAGAGTTGAAAAATAAACAGCTATAATAAGCGAATTCAGTGAAGCAGTACGCACAAACATGTCGAAAGAGTTCTACCAAATGGTTTAGTCTCCCATAAATACCGAGCGCAGACCTTGACTATGGAGCAACAATTACTGTGGAGTTTAAGTTTACTTAGAACATGACGTAATACGTTGTAAATACATACTTACATAGAATTAAGGTTATCACGGAATAATTGTAAAGACAGGGGCTGGTCCATTCAATTTAAGTGCTAATGTTGCAGTAATGAGAACACTTTCTTTAAACTATTAATGCCGTTTTATAAGCGACATTCGACTTTATATTAATTTGTAGTCCTTGGGTAATTTCAGCACTATGGTTCAAAATTCATTGATAATTTTTGGTAAAAATATAGAACTAATTTAACTGTTTACAAGTCTTTATATAAAGTTATTTTAGAAAACTCGAGAATAATAGTAGCTATGCACATTACTACTTTGTTTATGTTGCCGTAAACCTTGCTTTTATGGCAGCCGCGGCCGTACTAATTATCACTACATTATTCTGTTTGGGTGTTTTTTTGGTTTATCGTTTTATCATATTACGTGTGATGTTTTATCACAACTACCATTTCCAAATACATGTTTCATTATTTTTATCACAAAGTTCGTAGAGGCCTATTTTTTATATATTTTCTAGAGAAATGTTTGTTTTTTATAGTCAGCTGCCCATGGACGCCTGCAACTACGTTGTCGACGTCATTCATCGCGGGAATAGCTTATAGAGGAATAGCACAACGAATAGATACAAATTCTAATCAATCATGTAGTAGAGCCAGGGTATAGAACGGTAAATAAGGCTATTATTAGTATTTTTTTCAATTTATTGCAATTAGATTATTGATTTTTGTAATATAACAAGTTTTTACGACGAGGAAACTTATACGTTCGTAAGTTTACATAGATTCAAAATGACTTCAATTTAATTTTTATAACGAGTCTAAGGCGAGATAATATTTTTTTATAACCATGCTTGTTATTACTTATCTATTAAATATATTTATCTATTAAAGTTATGTACATTTGTGATAAGAACACAATGACTGTTCATCGCCTGTAGATGATTGTAAGCAGGGAACAGGTAAATTTCAATGTTTCCCTTAATTATGCTTAGGTATATGTAGATAATTTTAGTGTGTTAATACCGAAGTTTCAATCAATGATGAATATTTTCGTTGACAATACAGCGTTTTTAATCTAAAGACAGCACATAATGACTTCAATTTCTTCTACATCTATAAAGGTACATGTATACTACACTAGGTAAATAAATAATATACATTCATACCTTAACAATATTCTTCTGAACTAAACCTATATCTATAAAAGAAGAAACTGACAGACTGATGGACTGATCGATCAAAGCATGGCTGAAACCGCTGGATCTAGAAGCAAAACGTAACAACTTACAACAACCACAGAAAATACTTTTTATTAAAAGTATTTTCTGTGGTTGTTGTAAGTTGTTACGTTTTTTTGAAAACTACCCTTAAAAAGAGGTGTAAGTTTGTATGTTAAACTATTTTTTTTACCAACGTTCAATATAATTATTCAACAACGTTCAATATAATTATTTAGTCCAAACGTTCAATATAATTATATTCTATATCAAAACAATGATAATTATACACCTATGTTTTCAACTTTTCAAAACGTAAATATGTTTGTTACTCAATCACCCCAAAACGGCTTTCTGTATCTGGACGAGATTTGGCACATAGATAGATTATAGTCTAGAATAGCACAGAGGCTACTATTTATCCCGGCCTAATTTATTGACAAAATTGTCATTTACGCGAGCAAAACCGTGGGCAAAAGCTAGTTATACATAACAGCGAACCCGACAATAGTCTCATTCATTAGGTTTCCTTGTAGGTCATGAATACACTATGAATGAATAAGTGTGTGCGTACATACGGTCAAGATTACTATGCTAAACACTTAAACAAACAGTTTTTAGATAACATTTTTACCTACATATGTCATGTGTATCAATTTAACATAATTTTGACTGCACGGATGGCGTAGTGGTTTAAGCGGTCGCTACGCTGTAAACTACTACGCTGAGTGTTGTGGGTACGATAGCCACATGAGACAACACTTTTTGTGAACCACAAATTGTTTGTCCATTAGGAATATACCCTGTGTCGCGGGGGACTTTACAAACATACATGAAACGGACACATAACACCCAGACTCAGAACAACAAGTTGTGGTTCACGCAAAGTGTTGTCCCACCTGGGGATTGAACCCACAACACTCAGCGGCGAGGTGGCCGCTTAAACCAATACGCCATCTGTGCAGTCCATGGCGGTGGTCACTAACTATCAGATGGCCCGTCGTGACAAAAAAGGTTAATTGTCCATGTTCCTAAGTTAAATGTTTCTAAATGTGAATAAGGGGGTTTCCTACCTGGAATATCTCCTTTCCATGCCCCTTCAATCTATCAAGACTCTCCTCTGAAGAGTAGTCGGAAGTCTTGGTTAGTTTGTCGCCAATACTTCTTGTGGAAAGTCGCGTGCGATGGGCAGGAGGCGAAGTGTACTCCTCTTCAACTTCTGTGATAGCCTCTGATGTCACTTTACTTGAAGTTTGGTTTACTTGTCTATAAAAGGAAACAAAAATCATAGAATCGACTAGGATCATTTAAGAACTACAGTTTGAATTTGCTTTATTTTACTCATATTAAACATATGAGTAAAGTAAAGCAAATTTTAAACTTTATGAAAAAAATCGTAAGAATTGACTACTGTGCTTGATTCAGTGGTTTGGCTAAAGGTTTGAAATATAGTACTGTGCAGTCAACTGTGGTCTGTGGATTTCATAACAAAGAATTTGTTAAAAAGGTGTATACAGAAATTGAAATCAAGAAATCGACGACTGATAGAGCCTTGACTATTAACCTTGTAACATGTAAAGTGGAATCCTTGTAATATGCTTTCTGAATAACCTTCAAGAATACCTAAGATGTAAGAATACCAAACCCCATAGACTTCAGCTATTTAGTAGAGTATCTGGAACTCCTTAAATATATGCGTTACTATATAAAGCGAAAGGTACCTATATTACTGGATTTTTAATTGACCAAAAAGCAAAAATGGACACTGGTCTAAAAGAAGTAATGCGCCCCGACACACCGGAATAAGTAGAAGCGACAAAAAGTAAAAACCTGAAACCCCACATACCTAGCAACATTAACTGTCAGTTTGTTAAGGTAAAACTCCGCCTTTTTAATATTACTTTTTACGGCTTCAAAATGAAAGGCAAATTAAACCCGCCATCCGTCCGTTTTGGCGAAATTTTTCGTCTTGTTCATTGAAATTAAATTAAGCACAAAATCATGTTTGATTTATTTTTGATTCTAAGAAGCAAAATATATACATTAATGACAAACATACATAGATGTGACATATTTCACACACGATCGTTTGATACCAAAGTAGGTAAACCATTTTTCCAACTACATACACATTATAGATAAATTACAGGGCCAGGACAGATTATATAGCTCACAGCACATAAACATTTATCCTGGGCGGGATTGAACCCAACTCACTGGACCAAGCCAGTCAAACATTATATTAACCTTGATTTAGTAATGGCTACTGTTTGGTATGTTGACAACTATTTAGCACTTTGCCTATATTCAGTGCATTAACAACTTCAATATTGCTACTTATATTGGCAATCTATGGCATTAGGTAAGGCATACCCTCCCGTCTTGAAGCTTAAACGCAAATGGCATTTTTTACGACAAACGTATGAATTAAAGATGATGAACAAACGAGCACCGACTATATTATGTATAAGACTTTCTGTTGATATTTGTAAACATTAATTTCATATACAAAAATTTGCATATCAGATATTTTATGCAATATCTAATATTAAATGTCCAACTTTTTTTTAATTCAAGACCCGTGAAGTCTCGTATGTATAATATAGTAGTAATTATACATAATGTATGTGTAACGTTTTAAGTACTGTATATATTTGAACAATGTAAATAATGAATAACCTTTCTTGTGAGATTTGTTTAAAAAAAATAGTTTGGGTCATTGCGCCAGTTAGCTAAGTTGACCACTTCAGATTAGTAAAAGAACATGTTATCTATACGCAATATAGTATGTGTTAGTGAAAATTGGTCCCAAGTATAGTCTAGTTTGGATATTAAACATAAAATATAATACCTTCATCCATAAATTATTTTAAAAAGTGAAAATGTAGCCAAAACGTAGGTTTACGACCACTTTCATAAGTTTGCGACCACCAGTAAGTTGGTTTGCGACCACCAATTTTGTATGATGAATATGTACACCAACAAAATAATTGTCATTGATTTAAAAATGTTTTACTGTGTAAATGTAATTATGGAAATAATAATTGTTGACAAAAATAATATTGTGATTACTTGTAGTATTTTTCTCATTTTTATTTATGTTTTCCAATAAAGTATAATTTATTTACGTTTGGTTCCGAGAGAAAGTTTCGGACTACCAACTTTTCTTCTATCGTCTTTTCGGTATCTTTGAAGAGATTCTTCGCTCCATGGTCTTTAACAATTTTCTGAACTGTATCCAACAGTCTCTCTTTCTTGATCGGGAATTCACACTTAGCTGCGGCCAAAAGCCACTCCTTAACCTACTTTTTGATTTCGATAGCATTACATTTCTTCCCACTAAGATCTTGAATTCTGGTCCGAGGGATCTGATACAGTCTACCAATTTCTCTTATTCTCCTCTTTTCGTGTCATTTATATTTTTTAGGGCGTCCTTGTTGGTCTGGGCAGTCTTTTCTAATAAAAAGTAGTTTAAAATATTGTTTTGTCTGGTTTTAATGACTCACTCTAATGGTGTACGCGGAAAAAAAAAACATCTTTAGTATTCGTCAAATTAAGACCACATTAATGATTAAACAGACATTTAATTAAACAACAGAATGAAAAAAATACACGTGGTAGAAAAATAATGTCTTGATTTCAATAGTGTTTAATCATGTCTTAATTTCATTCCATTTGTATGCTGTAACAGCACTACCCATATTCCAGGACATTTTTGTTGTTTTTTTTTTAAAGTCAACTCCCACATTAGGATATATCCTATGTCACGAGAGCCTATACAAACATTGATGATATTTACACAAAGAACACTCAGACTGAGAACAACAATTTGTGGATCTCACACAGTGTTGTCCGATGTAGGGATCTAACCCACAACACTCAGCGCAGTAGGAAATGGGGAGGTGACTGCTTACACCACTGCGCCGTCCGTGCAATCATCAAGTTACTTGTATCTATATCTATAAAAGCAAAAACTGATAGGCTGATCGATCAACGCACAGCTGAAACCGTTCGGTCTAGAAGCATGAAATTTTGCATAAATGTGACTTACAGTAATACTCTTTATTAAAACCTATATTGTTGCTGCTCCTGATTCGTTTTACGTACGTCGTCGTACTTAAGTACGTAGACGTACACTACCAAGCAAATTAATAGGGTCTTTCTTTTTGGAAGCTGTCACTCCTATTTCATCCTAATAATTTTATAAGGCAAATATTTTTTAACAGAATTAAATCTTACGTTTTATTATTAAAATTTTAATTAAAACAATTTTCTCTTATCATAGAATCAATAAGAAGTTACGTAGTAACTTGACTACAGAACGTCTTATGGTTTTGATCATTTTTATTATATTCTAACTACGAAAAAATTTATAATTATAAATGGGAGTGCACTTTATTTTGCCATAAGTGCACGATGCACAAAGCAATACCCATTCTGCCGCCGAGCGTTCAAGATCCGTGCCGGTAACTATAACTTAAGATTTGTTGTATAAAGTTGCGCACATGAATGTCGATGTACCACACAGGGTCACTGTTATCAAGTGAGTCATTTGTGCTTGCCAAGGATATTGCCATTTCTACATCCTGATGTCTTATCAATGAGAAAGTTGGTGAATAATAATACTAAAAATAACCACCATGACTAAAAATATTCTAGTCTGGTTTGGGAGACTGAATTTGTTACCAAGATGCTTTTGGATGAAGTGTTTCTTTAATCTATGTATTCTATAGTTCAAATACTTTGTATGATGCTGCCTTTGTAAAAATCATTTTTTGTGGTTGGCACTTTGAAAATGCACACATCTTTGCTTTAATAAATCTTTTTTAGGTCCAAAAGCAACTCTGACTATATGCAAGTAAAAACAACCAAATACCTTTAATCAATTTTTTTGAACATTTTCAGTATTCTATCTACAAGGATTCTCCTTAACATGCAATGTTAGCTTATCAAAGAGTAATTTCCCTATTTAGAGTTTAGATATGTCTTAATGAATGAATAAATGGTTTAATTAACAAACTTATTTGAAAAGGTAATAGTTTAATGCAATTAAATAGAAACTGGAAGAATTCTGTGCATTCAAAAATTTACTGCTCTATTCTTGGGAATGGTTAAACAATATTCTTTTAATAATTTATTTGTACATAATAATAATTTCACACATCTCACACATGGCAGTTTGATCCCAAACTAGAAAGATCCTGTACTGTATTTCTGAATACATACATAGGTGTTATAAATAAATTACACCCAGACGGAAGAAATAATCAAGCTCATCACACAATGGTCCTGAATGAGAATCAAACCCATGATCTCTGGCTTAGCAGTCAGGGTCATTAACCACTAGACCAACAGACACTATCATTCAAATGATATTTTCAATGAAAGTTTGATTCAAAGTATATAAAAGTACAGAGTATTATAATAGACAGGCAATGATGGATGGCATGGCAATCTAATCATTGTATGCACTTCTGCTCTTCTTTTAACAGGCCTTTGAAATTTAGCTTTTTGATATAATCACAAGAATATTAGAGAGAATTAAAGTTTGATATAAGGTGTATGTTACAACAATATTTTTCAGTTACTATTAACACTGAGATCTCTAGGTACCACCAAAATTAGACACCTATAGAAGAGTATGACAGGTTGGTTATCACAATATAATCCTTGCAAAACATACAGCAAACTAATGAACAGAAAGGACTTGTAATGTTTCTGTGGTAACACAAACACTTTCTAATATAAGCATTAAAACCTACAATACTTAATTTCAGTAGCACTTAGTTATAATATATGACTTAAAATAATGTGTTCTGCTGTAGTAGGTAATAGTAAATGTATGTTAGTAATAATTCATAAATAGAATAGAATTACAAAACATTATTAAATTACATTTGCTTTCCACAGACGTCAACACAGACACAACATGACAGGTTTTGTATTATATGGTAATGTCTCTAAACTTTAGCCTTGATTACCTGTTCAGAATAATTTGGATTCAATAACAATGAATAGGGGAACATGATCTATTAACTAGCTTGTTTTTATTTACTATAATGTTCTATTTATTAATAGAACATTATTTTTAAATCGTCTTATATAAACTCTGATGCATAATTACAGATTTAAGAATAAATGTGATCAATAAGTATAACATACATTTGCCAGATTTTATATCATGGAATAAGAATATTTAACAGTTATTAAAGCATTGATTCGAAATACATTTTAGTAATAAAATATTTGAATACCAAAGTATGATAATGTTCATAAGAATGTGTTGACCACAATAACATAAACCAAGGTTACAGATGGTAGGCTATTATGACCTCTAAGTTTATAGCTGTGACATCATAGTAAATAAAGTTTGTCCTCTGAAAGTACTGTCCTCAGTGGAGTACAACCTTGTAATGATTCTCTTTAAAATTGAGTAGGCAGAGATTTATGATAAAAGAATTTGATTGCTCAGTGTTCTACTTTTTTAGATTACACGGTTGATAAGCCATCTTGATTCATAAATTCAATCTAAATATATGTCTATTTGTCTGTAGTTTCACTTTTAATGTTTCCCAACCTTGGAGCACTTTGAAAAATACTGAAACTTAGTTCTGGCAGTTTTTTTCAACAGCTTAAATATTGTTTATTATGAGAATGATGGATACAGTATATCAATAATCTGTTTATTTTTGTACTTTTTTTTCTGTGCAGAGTCCTTTGCCATATTTTTAGTATATCTAATGACTTATTAAAGATAGCTCAATAAATAAATTTATAAATCATTTATACAAAAACTTTTTCGCATAAATTATTTAACATAAATAATTAAGAAGACCATACAATTAATTAATTGTAAATTAATTAATTGTATGGTCTGGGATGGGCTTAGCCTTTTCAAGAAAAGTATTATGTTACCTTAAGAACTAAGTAAGAGAATATTTGAGAACTAAGCAATTTTTGTAATGAAGCAAATATTACAATTAATTAATTTACAATTATCATCACTAAGCTATATTACAATCACTAAGCTAATTAATTAATTTACAATTAATTAATTAGCTTAGTGATTCATGACTTGAATCACTAAGCTAATTAATTAATTGTAAATTAATTAATTAGCTTAGTGATTGTAATATAGCTTAGTGATTCAAGTCATGAATCACTAAGCTAAAAACAATAATGTGACTAAAGCTTTAATTGGAAATTGTAATAAGTGTGTAATGGGAACTTAGTAAGAACTGATAATGGAATTGCTTGCAAGAAATGTGTAGACATTAAAAGGAATTAACATTATATGTTATTTTGCAAGACATATTCTTGCAAAATATGTATTATGAAGTGAGCTTCACCTATAACTTAATAGCTTAATAATTATAATATACATTATACTTACTTAACTGGAGTGCTTCGTTTTACAGGTGTTTTACGGCCTGATTTATGATGAGCGTGATCCTCTCCACCCATACAGTTCTCATGGTCGCAGCTAGATCTCAGGAAGGGTGTTTTCGAACGAGACCTTGACCTCAATTCACTAACCGCCGAATTCTCCATGTTTTAATCACTGATGATGTACTGTTATCACTGGTTGAACATCATGTTTCACCTGCACTACCTCGCTATTCCAGTAATGACGACTATTGAATTCCACGGTTATACAAAACAGTTTACAGTCTTATCGGCTCAAAATGATACTGCACAAGAAAATCTATTTCTGTGGCTTCGTGCAATGCCGCCAAAAGTAACGTAACAAATGTCTCATTGACTTTCGTTGATGTTCGTTATGGATGCTCAATTATCAACGTTACATCACTCATCAGTAAATCTAATAAATGATAATTATTTTTAAATATAATGTTCGGTACAACAAATTGTACACAAATGTATTATAAACGAAATTCGTCAATTTCGTAACTTCTCAATCGCTAAACATAAACTGATGACGTCATCAGAAAGACGTTACGATAAGGGATACCAGTTAAAATATTTAAGTTCTTTTCTAAAAAGTGTTCCGATTATTGCCAAAAGAGCTTCTTAATGTTAGAGAAAGCGAACAAACCAGGTGCTATCGCATTCGGTTGGTAGAGATAAAAAGAAGATTGTTTTGGTCTTGTATCTGTCTCTGCTCTTGTCTCCGATTAACTATTTTTTGGGAATAAAAACTATTATTATATGCATGGTAAAGCAGCAGCCAATCAGTGAAGAGCGCAAAGAGAGAAGAAAGACCAAAACAGTCTTCTTTCTTTGTTTACCGTCGGTACGCTACCACTTACAGAAGAATATACAGTTCGTTTCCTTTGCTTATATTATATCTATGCAATTATTTTAAGAAATCTAAAATCTGATTATTCTTTTCAAGTTACCTTCTTCTGAGTTCCTGATATATTTTATGAACCTCTATCTGCCTTTGCCAACCATCCCAATCTGCTTAAATTAATCATTCAGGATTGTACAATTTGGGATTATGCCTTTTAAGAAAACAGTAAAATATTCTAACAGTAATACAATGATACTATTTAGGTTGTGCAAGAATACGTCTGTCTTGGCCAAAATATTCAACTCGGTCAGCACAACTTCGATTGGGAGGCCGATAGGAGAATTCTTCTGAGCTGGACGGCATATCACCATATCTTTGAGTCGCCGGTCCCGCAAATGCTACAAACCAAGGCCCGTAACCAGAAGGCCAATTCTCGTATTAAAAGTTCGGTCATAACTTATTTCCGACTTGAGATCAACTCTGTAATGTGATTATATCGTATTGTAACTTCAAATGGAATCTGTAATCGGCTAGTCTTAGATAAACTTTACTGTTTTACTACCAAAATATCTTTCAAGACAGTTGTGAGATCGATTGTTGATCGGAACTGAATTTTGATCGATTTTTTTGGAATTGGCCTTCAGTGCGTGTTACCCGTAGTGATTGGTCCCCAAGCTTAAACGTGTGATGCTGAGTATTTCTGTAGTCGATAAAACTTAAAACGAAACCATTCGACAGATAACTAGAGTAACCGACATCGCACGGAGAATCTGTACGCTGAAGTGAAGTGGGCTGGTCATGCTCCAGGTGAACTGATAGTCGTTGGAGGTGACATATTGTTCTGTAGTGGAGACGCGATTACGTAAACGTAGTGTAGGGCGCTCTACGGCACAGAAGACGATGACTTGAGGAAAATGGGTGGCAGTTGATGGATGTAGACTGCCGGCGACTGTGGCGATACACACAATGAACAAGAAACACCGAACTACGATGTAAGTCCTGAATTAGAATTGCTAATCCTGCATCGCGATATGAAGAATTCTCTCGCCTAGCATATATACAACCTCCCAACATAAACCGTTTGAAAAAAATCGGAATGTCACTAACTAAATTAGGACAAAATACAAAGTGTATTAATTTTTAATTTTTCTATCCACATTCTAATAAAGCCTGGATTTTCTTAGGTATCTGAAGTCACGTTTTTAATGTTCAAATTACCTTAAAACATAATAATTATATGTATTTAATTTTTATTTGTCTCTTTTTTGTGATTATTTATATAGCAACACATGGCACTAATCCATTTTCTTCTTCTTACTAGTTTCGGCCTACACCGAAACTAGTATGATTAATAACACTTTTTAACAGGTTTAACAACGCTTGCTTACTAATATTTAGATTCATGAAAAATGGTTTAAAAAAAAAAAGAGCTTTGAATGTTTAAACCGTTTAAACACGGAAATACAAAAAAATGGAACATATCTCATGTCACGAAATTTTTTTTAAAGAATCTTCTTGTTTTTATATTCTAAAATCCGGATTGGCAGTACATAAACTGTAGGTACAGCATTTTAGAAATTAAAAAATAAGCGGTGACATCGTACACTTAAAGGCCCTAGTAGCCAAGTCATAACATTCCCATAAAAAATCAGATCTATCAGAATCAGAATCGTGACCGATTTGACATTTCTACTACGAATTCAATTCTGGCGGGTAAGCAAAACGTAAATAAACTACGCTTTTGTAACGAAAATGGATCAAAGTAAAGTTTTTACGAAAATAAAAGAATTGGGTCATGTACACAGTAAGCGAGAGGAGCTGCGGGAATTTTGCAACTTAAAATTTGACCAGGTATGCTACTATATAAAATAAAAATTTAATAAATCGAATCATCACATTTTCATATTTGTGTCGGATTAATTTCAGATTATAAAGTTTTTACCCCGTCGTATACTGAACACTGACGGTGGAGATCTATTGGGCTGTATCTTAAATGGATTGCCGGATAATGCAGGAGCTTGTAGACATAAAGTTAAGGTAAACAGCCCTGAACCATTATTAAACAGGTTTTAACATGTATCAATCTAATGTTTGTAATGCTTTTAAATTCATAGAATTTGATCTGTTGATGTTCTTTAATTGTATTGATAACTAAAGTTTAATTTCATTATTTTTGCCTTTTTGGGTTTGTTTTTAATATTGGGTTTGTTTATCTTTTATTTAAAACCTAAATATTATATAAAATTACTCACTTGTCGTCACAAGAATGAGTGTTTAATCTATTATTCTATATTTCATGCAACAAAAGAGGCTTTAAATTAAAGTTTTCTTCTATCAACGGAGGAAAATATATTTAAAATTTAGAGATGGTAGCCCTATGCTTAGAAGGTGTCAAAATTAAAAATAAGTTTAATTATACACCAAACAAGTAAACAATATACTGCAACACTTTTTTTATTTTTTTTTATAAAAGACAACGCCCGCGTTAGGAATAAATCCTGTGTTGCGGGGGACTTTACAAACATACATGAAACGGACACAAAGAACACCCAGACTCAGAACAACAATTTGTGGATCACACAAAGTGTCGTCACATTTGGGGTTTGAACCCACAACACTCGGCGTAGTAGGACGCGTGGCGACCGCTTAAACCACTACGCCCTCCGTGCAGTCGAACTTACATACACATATGGCAGAAGCTAGACAACTATAATCCAATGCAAACTTAATGGCAGCTCTGAAGTCAGCTGTGCCTACAGTCAAGTCGAAAATAATCATGTATGGAACAACTCAACTGTATTTAGACAGGAATATGTGCAAATGTGCAGTGTACGGATGTAACTCACGAACTAAAAGCCATGCGTGTTATGTGTAGTCTTGCCCCCTTATCTAAAACAAATAAATTACCATTCAATAACATTTTGCTGGAGTATCATACCAGTTAGTGCAAAAATCTGTTAATTTCTATACATGTACAATTGTTCTTTAAATATTTCATTTTTATATTTATATTATTTTTAGGTAATAGAGGTGGTACTAAAGACTATGAGAAAAGAGGCGACGTCGTTGACGCATTGTGGTGACGTTACTAGCAGACTTTGTTTAGAGCTGCCAAGGTTACCTGTAGAAGATTTGGTGCGATGGAGTGATGACAGTGTTCAGTCTATTGTGGATGATAGTGATGTTAATATGATGTAAGTTGTAATGTCTTGTGGATGCTGCTTCCTGAACTGCAAGGGTTTACCAATGCTTTAATAGGGTAAGACTAATGATGTTCGGGTTGCCTTGCCAGCAGGTAAGTGGTCACTTGGCTAACTTCCAATTTTTCATATTTATACCACTAATATGGTATTCAAGTATAATGGCTACATAGGCCAAGTACTGCAATGGGGTCTACCCTTTATAGCAGGACTTTTTATGTTGTAATATTATTTTGCACTTCATGTCAGACAGTTTGGCAGACACTCATTTAACATATAGGCGAGGAGCCACCAATCCTGAAAGCTCCGTGATCACGGATTCTAATATTTTTAATAAAAAATAAAAGTTAACGTGTAGACGAACAAGATTTGCTTGGTCGGCGTGGATTTGATTGGCCGAAAATATTTTAATTAAATTATTTATTATTAAATTTCCATAATTTCTTTCCATCATTTTTTCTTGTTGTTGAACATAATATTTCACACAAAATTCTATATAAGATTGATCAAAATCCAGCAGGATATCACTGGAAAAGGGCTTGTTTCGGGGATCACCTGTGTCTGATCCGCAAGGAGCCAACGCCTGAGCACCACTGCGATGGCCGGACCGTGGACACGGCGCTCCATGCGCTGGCATGCCCGGCGTAGGTGAAGCAGAGGTGTGACCTCGTGGCGGCCATCGGAGTAAGGGGTTCTCTCGCTCGGTAACACGATTGCGGCAATGGTGCGTAGCGAGAGAACTCTGGCGTCTCCTTCTGCGAGCAAGTTATTCTTGCGGAGGAGATGGCGGTGCGGGACTGGGAGGTTTAGATCTCTCCCGGCCCCCTAGGCTAGCCACGGGTCAGACGCTGGAAGTCGGAGAACGACCTCTGTCCTCCAGAAGCGCAGGCCTGGGGGTGACGGGTGAGAGCGTCTGACACTTAGGCAGGGGTGCTCCTACTGGGTCTTAAATTACACTCTAGGGGTAGGGCAGACAAGACTACGTAGAGCCGGTTTTGCAGCGATTCGTTACTGTCACAAACTTTTGTAAGACCTATGACTTTTTAAGATAATATTTTAATTTAAGTGTAAAAATGCAATTTCATGGCAATACGAGTATGCCTAATAAAATTAAGAAACGAAATTATACCAAATAATCGTCGTTCTAAATAAACGTTATGCTAAACGCAATTATGCGGAATTTTAATTCTGCCAAACGAAAATATGCCAAATAAAATTATGCCATCTAAAAGTATTGTTACGTGTTAGGGTTCGTTGATTCGGAATGATAAGCCTTCTGACGACTAAAGAGACTTTATTATCACCACTGAAAAACGTTCAACAACACTCAATAATAGTCCGGAATAATCGCCGAGGTCGCTGGGTCACACTTCTATTTACTTTAATCGCTTCGATGTTTATCGCACTGTATCTCGAATTGAACTGAACTCCTAACAAGACGTGTCCGTATTTATAATACTCGTAAAAGATCCGTCCGCTTCTGAGAAAAGACTGCACGGATGGCGAAGTGGTTTAAGCGGTCGCCACGCAGAGTGTTATGGGTTCAAACCCCACATGGGACGACACTTTGTATGATACACAAATTGTTGTTTTGAGTCTGGGTGTACTTTCTGTCCGTTTCATGTATGTTTGTAAAGTCCCCCGCGACACGGGATTTAGCCGCGGCTAAAGCAAGCACATCAGGTCACAGAAGTCCACGTGGTCTTCTGTAACACCACGTGTCTACACTCTAACCTCAACGCTGTCTACCACCACCGAGACAGCGAAGCCGGCCCTGCTCTTTTTCCCGAGACGCTGTGATCTCCATCGGACACATCCTACCTCTCCTACCCTGGCTATCATCTGGAACACTCCTTTGTAGCTAGGGCTAGAGTGTGCGTGTATGTTAGAGATGATGTCAGTTTCCGCCGCCTCGGCAATCTTGGAGGACAGGACCTCTGCACCTTGTGGCTCCGTTTAGGCAGCGACGACCATCCCCGTGTCTATGCATGCCTCTACAGGTCTCATGGCGGTGATACCGAAACTGATCAACTGATGGACCACGTCTAAATGGCTACAGATCCTGTGTTGCAGCAGGTCCCATCCGCAGAGATCGTGATACTTGGCGACTTTAACGCTCACAACGCTTTTTTTACAGTTTAGCTTTGTTACAGTTTTTTAACATGTTAAAAAATTATTTTCAATACAATACAGTATTTTTAGATTATTGTTTCTTCTAAAATACACTTTAAATAAACAAAAGTGTTGATCAGGGTACTAAACCGACGTAAAGAAACTGATTAAGCTTTGTTAAAGCAAAATACTGTAAGTCGAGTTACCTCACAAGGCACAGCACAACAATAATTATTAATCTGTTACATCATTCATGTAGTTTTTTTTTTTTTTCTAAAAACATTTATTTAAACCATACAAGTGCAGAAACCTTGTAAGGCACATGCACAAAGGATACATACTATATATTAATGAAAATATTATAATAGCTGTCACGGATTTCCCAGCCCACTACATATATAATCGTCTGTATTATATACACACATGTTATCTGAATATTATTTGTTTATTATTATTTTTCAGTTGGCGAGATGTGCTCCCAGAATGCATCAATGCAATATCTTCATATGATACAATCAAACACTGTGGCACAGAAATGACTAGCTCTGAATACAAGGAACAGTGTGTTCACACACTATGCCAGTGTAAATGGCAAGAGAAACAACTAGTGCAGTTGACTGCAACCTTCAAGTGAGTATATTTATACGCAATTAAAGACAAATGATTTTAACCCAAATTATTTTGGACCTGACAGACTTGTTCAAGGAGGTAACGTCCTGCCGCTTTTGGAGTCAGGCGTCATACTGTGAGATAAATAATTAGAAAATCAGCTATGTTAAATTAGGGGCAAGTATTTTATAATCCGTGAGTTGGCAGTAGGTATGTTTAAAAATTTAATACTACTGCTATTTATATATTAAATATAAATAAAGCAAAGATAGTTACTAATTTATTTACCCTTGAGAAAAATAGGATTTATTATCCGTGAATCACTTGATTCTAAACAACAATAATAAAAGTGTCGTAATTGTACAATTTTGAACAACCAATCGGCATCGGAAATAATAATTTGGTATAAACAAGTGATTTGAATTTCATAAACAAAGCTTTTAAAATTACTTTTGAAAAGTTTTCAACCACCAGATTTAAGTTAAATATTGGTAAAACATCATCTCATCCATCATATGTGAGGCGGACTAATAAAAACGGATTAACATATGGACACGCTTTCTATATACACTAAAATTAGAAGTTTCGTATATTTCCTGCTGTACCTGGATTTCAGTTCTCCCTATATTTACTCCTTATTGAAGTGAAAACTTCTTTAGCGGCGTTGTACACTTTTTTTTGTAATGGGTAAAAAATGTTAAACTTGCGTCAGGACACGTGACCTGATCGAAAATTTGTAAGACGGATGGAGAGTAGGAGAGGAAGTATCCCCCTCACTTTCTACGGCGCGGCGACAATGTATGCCTGCGCCTGCTGTTTCGTTTAGGCACGCAGGGCGCTTGCGCGAATGTTCGTGTGTGTTTATGTTACAGCGTGCCACGCGCATCCATGGTTGGTGACAGTGTCTCGATAAATTGTCATGTTTGCGTACGATAGCGCAATAAATAAATATTGTATACTACCACATAAATGATAGTACTTTTATACTGATAATTAAAGCAATTCGTGTAAAATTATTCCCTAACCATTCCAAAATATCAAAAATGCACGTGTAACGTTAATATTCAAGTTTTCACTTCTGCCGGAACTCCCGGAGTGCAAGCCGCCGTTTAAATAAGAATACCGATTTATAAACATTGAAACAACAGACACAAGAAGACCGAGGCTTGGGACAACTATTTGTGGATCATATAAACTTAGGTGCAGTGTGGGAATCGCACTCACAATTCTCAACCCGCCCAAGTCGCAATGCGACTATTTCAACCATTTCGCCTTTACTGTACCTGTGTCAACTGCCGTTGAAGTTGAGCATGGGAAAGACTTTATTGTATTTTCTCATTTGTTTCTTTTAATTTCTAGAGATATGCAACTATCACGCAATAATCACAAACAGGTGGTAAACAAGATATGCTCTTATGTAATGGATATACCGCCAGATACCCTGCCTCCATTGGTACATCAGTTACTTAAGTAAGTATTACTATTCATGTTTTATGGTATAGCAGGCAATCGTGAAGACTCTACTCATGAGTCATGAGTACTTTAATTCCCTTTGAGTCCCTCCCCTCCCTAGGACTAAGGAGGCGAGGGGAGGGACTCAAGGCTACAATTACCGGTTCTTTTTTTAAATTACTAGTTACAAGATCCGAAACCCCTCTGAATTTGGGCTCCAGGTACAGTACAGTACAGGACTCATTCGGTAAAAAGCAACAAACGAATTGCTTCATACTAGTTCTATGTGAGGCCGTGTTGTAGAATCATTACTTCACACAATACACTGTACTGCCAGGGGTGTAAGAACCTTTAACAATCTTTTGCACTCTTTTTGAAGTTAATATGTTGAACAATGATATTCCAACATCTATGTAGTCAATATACACAGCTATAGTTATAGTTTAGATACTACTCAAGTCCATTTACCTAGCTTTATCATCAGATCAGCTCATACATCCCAAATCGTTAGCCAAACTTTATACATAATTACATTTATTATTATTTAAAAGGTTTTTAAGATATTTGCAGTATAAGTGTTCACGGATATGTAACAAGATGTAATAGATATCATTTTCTGCCTTTAACAAGACGTACGTAGACGTACTGTCTCCGATATTGTTACATTATTAAAAATCATTAACGGAGTTATAGATTGCTCGATTCTTCACGAGAAAATTAAAATAAGAGTACCGCATAATTTACACAATACCTGTGAATAGCTTCGTTGTTACTTTATTATAATGTTTTACCTTGCTTTATTTGTGCTGTTGTCCGAACAAAATAAAATAAAATAATTCAATTTCTTTAAGTAGAACTTGAGTTACAAGATTTGTTTACATAGTTACGAGTGAAGCCATGAAAAACATTTATAAAGAAAATAAAAACGAAAGTACTTCATAACATGTTATTTATAAATATTAATTTTCAGATTATGTAAAACATATAATTTGGAGATAGTATTGTCACATCTCTCACATTACTTCAGCTCGAGGTTATATAGCAAATTGGAGCCGCCTCCACAGGACTCTGAGTCCACTACTATAGATATTGATGATATAGGTATGTTATAAGTTCAGTAAATCTTCACTCCTTATAGGTAATTCTATGAACATCATAATTTTGATAATCTTAAAGATTCTTTGTTACGTAAATATGTATTTATGTATTAAAGAATCTTTAAAATTATCTTTAAGTCGCAGAAGTTCCTAAAATTGCCTGATTCCCGTCTTTAGACAAGGTCTCAAATTTGATATTCAGGTTCAGACCAAAGTCAATTCTCGTAATAAAAATTCGTTAAAAATTCAGTTCCGGTGTACTCTCGATATCACAAATGGCATAAAGGAATTCTCGTAGTATAGTAAACATCCAAGTCATCCAACGTTGACTGTAGTGTGACTATATCATATTGTGATTTCGGTCGCTGAAGTACCTATCGCTAAACCGCTTAAATTTAATAAATAATAAAATGATGTGGAAAGTATCTACGAACTTGAGTTATGTTATTACTCAATATAAACTGAAGACATTCTAGCATGCAGTATATACTGAGAAAATAGAACTTCTGAGTAATTAATTGACTGTCGTGAAGTGATTACCCTAATGCCTTAGTCTTTAGACTTTTCACTGAATGATAAAGGGTTTGATTTTCTAGTTTCTAGTGTATATGTTTATTATTGCAGTGCCTCATAGTTCTGCAGAACTCAGCCGTTGTCTCTCCACCTGTATCTACCACATATCCCAAGGGGCCGCAGACCCGGAACTAGTTAGGAAGCATATTAAGCAGTGGCCCAAAACGCAGTTGTTAAGGGCCCCATTTCTAATAGACTTAGCACTCGCCATGTCGGACAAGGGGGCGGATTTCCGATCCGTATGTTTGGATGCAAGGACAGTTTTTTTTTATTTATATTTGGTATCTCTTGGCTCTGGTATATTGAAAGCGAGTGACTGATCAACAAAAAAAAAAAAGAAAATGCAATATAAAATTAAACTTTCCTATCAGTAAACGCAGTACATTTTATTCACGAATTCTAAGTTATAAAATGTTATATATTTAATGAAAACTAGTGTTCATTATTTAGCAGATGCTAAAAGCTGAGAAAAAATAAAAACAGTGTGACCATGACGTGAGTTTATTACTATTATATTATTTACTTAGGTCTGCTAATAATGATCAGTCTTATTAAAAATTTTATTCATTTTAGTCTTTGTCGGTCAGGTCATAAGGTCAGCAATTGAACAGAGAGCGTTAGATGATTTGCGAACGCGCGAGTCTGCCTGGGTTCGATCTGTTATTGGACCTGATGTCGACGTTGCGAGTCTTCTTAAAATTCTCACCACTGAGAGGTGAGTGATACTCGTATTATGTATGCCTTCAATTGATTTAAAGAGTTAATTCACGAAGTGTAAAACGAAATTCTTCTAAACTTTTTTTAACAACATGCACACTTGATGCATTTTTAGATATAATGCCTTAGATATTCTCTACCAGTCAACCATTGTGTGACACAGAGAAAACAAACAGCAGGTGCATTTTGATTTTAAATTTGTTTTAAAATATAATATTAAAACTTTATTAATGCATATTAAATATGTAAAAAATATACATATAAACTTACCTACCTACACATAGATAAATACACCATTATCTTCATCAACAGCCTTTATTAATCCACTAGTGGACATAGACTTCTCCTTAGGAAGGACGTTTTGACCTACTATACCATGCTGACTGACTGACTTTGCAGTGCTGTTGTCCTGCAGAGTTTACTCCCTTAGTCGACTACGACACCCACTGGTTTTACGACAGCCACGGCCTATGTCCAGAAGTGGACTATTAAAGACTGTTGAAATAGGAATCAAGAAAATTAATAAAATCATAATCATAAAAATCAATAAAATCAAAGAATGAAATTGAGTGTGAACATAATAATGTCGAAGAAGAATTGTGCAAATCTAAAACATAAAAAAATACTAGTTTATTTATTTGCAGTGCTAACCATCGTCAACTGACAGTAGTCGGTCTAATTCACCTGGCATTTCTCCTTCTGTCGACGTTCCGACTAAAACCAGTTGCGCAAACCTGCTGGTCACACGGGAAGTTAATATTAGTGAGGCTTAGCAAGTCTCAACCGGAATGTGCTGCGCATATTCTAAGTCAATTGGCTGATAAACTGGCTGGAGATACTACGCAAAAACAGTATTCAGGTATAGTTTTTTTATGGAAGAGGGGGCAAACGAGCAGACGGGTCACCTGATGGAAAGCGACTACCGCCGCCCATGAACGCCTGCAGCTTAGGAGTCACAAGCGTTTTGCCGGCCTTTGAGGAATTAGTATGCTCTTTTCTTAAAGGTTTGCAGGTCGAATCGGTCCGGAAAAGTTCGGAGCGCCGAGGGGATGAATTTTTGTCGTGTGGAGCGATGGCGGCAAGTTGCGGCTAGTATTAGTTAGAACAATTCCTTCGAGCACTCTCCATGATATATACTACCAAATTCACCGAATATTACTTATATGCTTCGGCACAAATGGGCCGCCTCGACCGGAGTTATACCACGGTCTCACAGAAAACCGGTGTTAAACAGTTTTTTAACGGCTTCACTTGTGACTTTGAGTTGCAGGTGACCATGTGCGGCGATAGTCACTTACCATCAGAGGGCTGAGTGCGAGTAGAAGTGAAATAAACTCGCACTCGCCGCAGGTGACCCGTCTGTTCGTTCGCTTTTTATACTATCTCGGTCAGCTTCTAATAATGGACGTCCATCTTTTTTATCACTGCACTGATTCGTTTTAACAAGTCTGACAGATTAGGCTCAGTACTAAGCTTAATCTAGCGTAGCATGGTTATGATCTGTTGATCAGTTGCCAGGAGGTGGGTTGTGGAACTTCTTTCTACTCTTTGATTCGGTTCGCAAATAAAAGTATTTTTTATTTTCATTACACTATAATTTAATTAAAGAATAAGGTTTTAAAACGTATTTCTTTCTTCTTATAGATTGCCTGTACATATTGTGCAAGCTTACGCCTGTGTCAATCGAGCGTTGTTCTCAACTAAGCACCATTCTGGAGAACTGTCAGCCTACACCAACGGATTTCAGATCTGCTGCAGCCGTTCTGGATGCCGTACACCCACTTCTGAATTTTAGCACCAGAAGCAGGGATACTTTGGTTATGGTGTGCCGTAAAGGACTTTACTCAAGGTGTTTAAGAATTAAACCTAATAACAAGATTCGAGCTATATTATACTACTAGACGAACAGGCCCGTTGACCTTACTAAATTTCGGCATAATTCTATTACAGAGATTCCCAACACCGTTGCCTGGCTCTCTCCGGCTTCCTCACAGTCCTCCGGCACGTGAAAGTGCGTAACAACTCTACCAGCCACAGTCAGCAGTACAGCGAACAGTACAGCACGCATTCGTACCTCACACAGGTCGCTGTTGACCTACACGCTACTCAGCAAGGCAATGCGTAAGCATATAAATGTTATGAAACTTGACTATAAAGTATATAAGTATTTTGGCCAGATCATAAAATTGATTGTTTCATGATCTGTCTGACCATTTTATGCAACGGTAGGTCAATTGCATTCAGATTTACCACACCATGACAAAATTTTACCCACAGTGTTACATCCCGGGTGCGAAATGAAGCGATGTGTATGGAAGTGGTATCTATTTTGCGTCGATGTCTTCTTCAGGATGCATTGGTTAAGCAGCTACTGTATACTAGTATGTATCTTTCTTTATTTTATAAATTAAAGGGAAGATTAAGTTTATGTGACATAAGCTGCAAGTAAAATGTATAAATTAAAAAAACATTATCTTTAAGCTGAACTAGTCTTAATTTTTTTGTTCATGAGATGTAGGCAACAGCTTCTTTGTCAACTGCCAGATGTCACGTGTTCTCGAAACGTGGTTGACTGAGGAAGCTAATTAACAGAGATAAATTATACATGAAATAAATTATACTAGGTTACAAATTTCACAATATTTAGTATTAAAAAAGCTACTACAGTTTAACTGTCGCAGGTATAAGAAACAAAGTTAAGCTCAGGGAAGGGAGGCTTCGACCGTGGTCCGGCCTATAGGTGAGACACTCAACGTGTGGCGCTGGAATCAAAGGCTTTTTGCTGATTACATACAGCGCTGGCCGTTTTTGGAAGGCTGCACGCGTACATTACTGGGTCCCGAACGATTTGACTGAATTGCACCTATCGTGGTAGAAAATATATTTTATGTCCGAAGTTCCGATTTAACGATGATCGAACGTTTAAGAACTACCTAGACACCAATAGGCGTGCTATACTGCTCACAAATCAGCGTGCAATTTTTATCTTTTCTATTTATTTACAGAAATATATGAATGCGCTCAAGACAAGCCATCTCTTCATGAGGGCATACTTGAGTTACTGTATGAACAATTGAGCAAGTACTTACCAGATGGAAGCAGTACTGCTCAATTGTTAATGGACAATTGTGTTCAAATCAACGGTGTTAGCGCCGTTCTAAACGTAAGTAACTAAGTGTCGTAGTAGTGTGTGAACGTAATATAATGCTGAATAGCTTGCAGGTGACATCTGGGGCGGTATACTATGGGGATCTTGTGTCAACTAGGGTGAATTTCCGTGCGTTTAGGCGATTCTGGCATACATATTATAGAAGTCAAACATAGCTCACGTAGGACCCGTAATATTTGTGGCCGTGGTGCTTCCCTGTTTAAAAGGGTGTATGCCCTTTTTACTTCATTTTGTCTCCCGCTTTGCTAAGGAGGGAAGTGGATTTACTGTATTTCCAACTCCTCCAATTTTCTTCTGATTAATTTCGTTGCGGGTACCAAGACAGTTTAATTTCTTCCTTCCCGAGTGTCATAACTCGGTGTGTTCGTGGGTCACTGCTGTGGATCCTGTTGTACAGGAGTTACAGTGGTGGGCGTGTGGGTGGGATTAGTCCCATAAAAGTAGTGTGCTGCTGAATTGTCTCAAGAAATCCTGGATACAATCACCAATCTGTTGTATTCGTCAAAACGAGTTATATGAGATCAAAATCGAATAGTAGCTACTGGTAAAAGTACTACTGGTAATATATAGTAGGGTGAAAACACTCATCTTTCATAAATTTTCCATTGTCATATCGGTTTCGGCCATCGTTTCTGTCAGCATTGCTGACAGAAACGATGAAACGGCCAAAAAATCGCGCTTAATTTGTTATCATTTTTAAAGAGTTACGTTGTCTGTCTCTGACACCCATCATCAGATCTATATGATATTTAAATGGGACCATTTCGGGATTAACCCATTTTGCACAAATAAAAATTTACAAATCCGTCTATATCTGACGGAGTTATTAAATTAATTTGTTATAATAATTGCAATTTTTTGTGTGCTAAAACATACCTTCGATACAAATTTTTCTAGATTTCATTCTGAACCGAATGAGAATTCACTCATATTTTTAGGAGCTTTATCAAGAATTAACACGTTTTTGAACTTGTTGGCTAGCCTATACTGTTGCACGTTGGACGTAACCATGCGGTCGACTGCAAACGCAGGACTGCAAAGCGGCAGCAGTTTGCAACTGATCTTGGACCTTTAGGCACCCCAATGTCGTGACATGACGCTGAACTTAATAAAAACGGTGTATCGTTTACATCAGATATTCATATACCATATTTGTTCGAGGAGGTGTGACAATTTGCCAATTAACTATATACAAAGCTATTAAGAAATATAAGTATTTTGATGATCTTAGACATTTATCTATTGTAGGAACCCATAGCCCGTCTACTGTATACTGTGGCTCAGTTCCTTCAGCCTTGCGAGGATGAAGACTTAGAAGATATACTTGCTAGTCAGTCTGTTGAAACCGGCTCCGCTTATCTGAAGAGTAAACTCGGCATCATAATGGACCAGCTTTGTAGCTGTGAAAACCTTGGAAGCATTGATATGGTAAGCTTATTTAAAGCAGGAACTAAATTATGTGTTTTTTTATAGGCCCTTTATGGGGAAATGAGCAGTCGGTTCACCTGGGCCCAATTCTGCTATTTTATTATTGCATTAATACTGTCGATGGACTGTCGTCGGCATAGTTTTGCACTTTTCGTATATACTAACTATGTAATACCAATTGCCTCCCGATGACTTGTCACTGAACTTTGTTATAGTTTGGTAAACGGTACATTTTAAATTTGTAAGGAAATTATATATTTTATTTTCAAGATATGGCAATGTTGTTGATATCACCATTTATAAGTCATTGTCACTATATCCACAGTCTATTGACACTGTAAATTTATGTTAGTAGAATACCGATATTTTTACCGATGGCAATGGCATGTCAATACCATGTCAATGGAATAATAGTGGCTTGTACATTAATATAAAATAATATAATTATTGAGGCCCAGATGGTATATGACTTCCGCCTGCCATTAATAAAACACAAGTGCGTTGCCGGCCTTTGAGGTCCCCCCTCCCCTTAAGAATTAGGGGGAGGGGTTAGGGTTTTTATTCAGTACTTGTTAATCTGTGGAGGAACGGGTGTCATGTTCCTCCAACACAAAGGAAGGATCCTCCGACCAGGCGAGGTGATCATTTCTTTGTATGTTTGAGTCGCTACAAATCTTTCTAGTAACACTTTAACGTCTATTCGATCTCCTTTTATATTGAATTAGCTTTTCCCTGCGACTTTTCTTGTCAATGTCGATTTTTGCAATATTTTATTTTAAAAGCCTGTTCTCGAGTGTAATTTATTTCTATTCAAAATTTCATCCAGATCCGTTCAGCCGTTCAAGTGTAATTGAATAAATAGTCATTAGCGCCTCCAAGCATAAAAACAAACTTAGCTTTATTATTATGAGTATAAAGAGTGCAGGTAGATTTTTAAAACCGTATATGATACATTAGCTAAGGGCAGCGGTTTGGCTCGCGTAATTATTTCATGTTTCTAACTTGAAAATGTTCAACTTCCATACAACCGTTCACCCCTTATTTTACCGCGTTAGGGGTGAAATTGAAAATAATCCTTCATTCGTGGGTACAATAGAAAAAGTATCAGCTGCCAAAATTTCAAGTTTTGCTTTGGGCGGTCCCAGCGGTTAATAATTAGCCAAGTAATTTAAATGGATGAAATTTTTCCCGCCATTCAAGCTCTAGAATAGATAATTTGTATTATGGATGTTCCTATGCAGCACGGAAATTTAACTTAACCTCATGTTTTAATATTATTTTCCAAGTTATTAATGTCCGATTGTTTGATCATAACCAAAAACTTTTTGTAACATTTTTATTTGTATATTTTAATATATAATTATAATGAGAAATGATGAAACAGGGAGTAACTTAATTGTTATTCGAAAAACAACACAACGTTTGGTTCAAGGCCATCTCGAATGTTGAACAAAACGTTTTATTTTTTTGTTAACAAGGTAGGTAACTTTAGATAAGTGAATGTTTGGAGAAACTTTATTATTAAGATTTTTATGATACTTTATTATTTTTTCACAAGATAAGAACGAAGAAAAAAATTGAGTGATTATTTTCAAAATCCACAAACGACCAGCTAAGCGGTTATACATCAAGCCGACACTAATATCTAAACGCAAAACACCAAACTAGTCTTTGACCTTGTCCTTTACGCTTATCTATATTTAAAAATATTCGTATAGCAGCAGTGTTCACGAAGCACAGTACAACACATTTGTTGACCAAGTTTATCATTATCAAGTCTTTTAAACTGATAAACGCAATTTTTAAGTGTCGCTTTAGTATATACTGAACGAATTATAGTGAAGTTACATTAGTTAATTTTTTGCACACGTACGGAGAACTCGTTGCTCAAAAATGTTTAATTTACCAAAAACTATGCGAGCCGTCGGCCTTTACAAATATTTGCCGATATCAGATGTCAACAGTCTTGTTGATTTAGAAGTGAAACTACCAACATGTGGGAAATCTGATGTACTTGTAGAAGTTAAAGCCACATCTGTGAATCCTCTCGACGCAAAGCAGCGAGCCCCGAAGCCTACTATAGAAGCTACACCTCGAATTTTAGGCTTTGATGGTTCTGGAATCGTGGTAGACAAAGGTGCGGATGCAAACTTATTTAAAGTAGGCGATGAAGTCTTTTTCACCGGTTTTGTGGCAAGGAGTGGCTCCAACGCTCAATACACGGCTGTTGACCAATATCTGGTGGGGCCCAAGCCAAAAAAATTAACCTTTGAAGAAGCTGCTGCGATGCCGCTTACTGCTCTCACAACGTTTGAGTCAATTTGTGACCGTTTATCGATATCTGAAAAAGATAAAGGGAAGAGGTTGCTGGTCATAAACAGCGCTGGAGGAGTGGGTTCAGTAGCGACTCAACTAGGTAAGATATTAGGACTTACAGTGATTGGAACGGCCTCACGGCCAGAAACAGTTGCTTTTTCTCGTAAGTTCGGAGCTGATCTCGTTCTCAACCACACACAAGATCTAACAAGTCAGTTGAAAGAAAACGGTTTAGAAGACGGAGTAGACTTTATTCTTGTCAATTATGACCCAGCTCCGTATTGGAATATACTGCCGAGTCTTATTAAACCAGAAGGAAAGATCTGTTTGCTTGTGGAAAGTAATACTCCGGTGACTTTGACGCCTCTCAAAGACAAGAGTTTGACGCTTGTCTACGAAATGATGTACACACGGCATAAGTATAATACAGCTGGTAGGATCAGACAATATGAGATCTTGAAACAAGTGTCACAGTTGCTTGATGAAGGGAAACTGAAGTGTACCTTGACTAAAACTATGTCGCCAATAAATGCTGCTAATCTAAGAGAGGCACATAGAATTATTGAAGAAAAGAAAATGGTTGGAAAGTTAGTGTTATCTCAATTTTAGTTATTTTATAAATAACTTCACATTCACTGTGCACTGGTATTATCTGTTGATACTTGTAAGTTTTATAATAATAAATATATTTTCTTAAATGTTTTATTTTTTGTGCAATATATAGAACTCCTATAGTAGCATGATACAACATACACATAGAAATTTACGTTTAGACCTATGAGTGTGCACTTAAATAAAACCAACATAGTTTAAAGTTTGGGTTATAAACATTTAAACCATACATAATTTCTAATTAAAATAGTCCTTCTTAATGAAGTGGGGTTCAAATTCCTCTTAATGTTAATATTTCTATGAATTACAAAAATGTATATAATATGTAAATGTGATGTAATTTAAAGCCAGAGAAATATAACATTAAGTAAAATCGAATTCAAAATCCTACTAAACTATTTCGCTCCATAAAATATAAAGCGGGTCTCTAAAAATGTCTACAATCGTATATTCAATTCAAATCGTGTATTATCGAAATATTTAAGAAAATAAAATAAACTTTATTTTACACCAGTTTAGTACATTATACATAGAAGAGTACATCAAATTTACGACCATGTACAAATCTTGGCCTTACGGCTAAAAAGCATTTTCTTACATCAACCTTTGAATAGAAAAATAGACTGTAGATAGACGAATTCATGGGTAGTTTTGGTGTGAAAATATTCTTGACATTTTCGAAATGAAGTCGCGTATACACTCACATTTAATTTCCTGGCATTTAAATATATGTATCCTGATATTAGTAACTGTCACTATTGAGGATATATTGAGGATAGCTTTTTATTATTAAAATATCAATTCATTAGTTAATCTTAAACAATATTCTAGGAAGATCCTGGCCTCTCTGATATCACGCCGGAGTCTAAAGCGAAGTGCATGAAAGTGCAACAAGTACTTCAATGCTATGAAACTTTGATAGCTCACCAGATAATGCAGTGGAACATAACGAGCACTAATTCAGCTTTAAAAATTCATAAACTATTCAAAGCCTGCAATGAGTTGATTGAGCGTACTAAGGTAAGGGCTAGAAGGTAGTACCGTAGGTAATTCCTACTAAAAATGTTGCCACCTTTCTATGAAAGAGCGTCAACGATGATATAAAATTTTTCGTTCAAAGATTTGGGATTCAACTAACACTTTAGTTGCATTTTACTGTAAAATATCATTTGACTCAGTTATCGAAAGGTTTATCACGATATAATTGTTACCAGTCCGGTGTTAATATGATAACATAATGAAAATTCATATTTCAAGTCATTTTTTTTTACTTTTCTGAGCATTATGTAATTTTTTTTTTTCGAAACTATTTTTAAATGTAATGTACCGAAATGTTATGCGTTTTGTACACTTCTTCACGATAACATTATCTAGTGTTTGAACGAAGGATTTTATTCTCTGAAGCACCTCATTTAATGATGTAATACGTGTGCAAATTTTACCAAAATTTTTACCTTCGTCAAAATTTCAAATTTTAAGATTTCTTCTTTTCTGCGGTCAACCAAAGTTTACATTTTTAATTTTAGATGATTCTGTCATAAGTTATTATATCAACGCCAACGTCATAGGAAATGAGATCTCATAATCTGAATAAAAAAATGTACTCGTAATATAGATTTTACTAAACACTTATCAAATGTCTATTTTTGATATCCTGGAGTTTACAAATAAATATTAGCTTTTTCCAGCTTTCCATACCCACCTAACAACTTAAATGTTGTGAGACTTCTGTCTGTACTAGTTTGGACTGCCTCCATACACTCAAACATTTCACCGTTAACATCTTACATGATAGATGGTGGATGGAACCAAATTATAATTATTTGTGATAGTACTAGCTTTGAAGAGAAGAATTTAAAGATCTCGATTAACTCTGGCATTATAACGAGAAAATTTCACGAACAGTATCACTTTCAGATTCCCTCCAAATCGGCCAAGAAAGGAAACAAAACACTCAATGAGACAAAAGATACCATTGAAAAGAGTACTCAGAAGTCACAGAAATCGCAGAAGGAGAAGGGTAAAGCCCCCGTGAAGCTCTCTAACTTAGTGAAAGATAAAGCTGGACCTTTCAAACCCTTGCCTTGTGTTTGGGACATAAAGTTATGTGTGCGAGTTGTGGAATTATTATACAGGTAAGATATTACTTTAATGATTCGTAGAATCTAGACATTCTAGATTTCCTTTCTCCAAGACGGTCTGCTCTTACTCCAAGGCGAACCTTATGCTTATTTGCCAATATAAAGAAAATTAATTATATTATAAAAAGGCTAGTTACCATCCTTGTACCAGTGGCCGTTCCATTCACAGTAATACTGTTTTTAAACAGTATTACAGTATTTGTAGAACGGGAGAATTCAATCCACTTTTCAATTGAAAACACCGCTGTACTTCGTAGACGATGTACAAAATCTAGTGACTGCACGGGTGGCGTAGTGATTTAAGTGGTCTCCTCGCTGCTTACTGCACTGAGTGCTGTGGGTTCGATCCCCACATGGGACAAGACCTGATACCACGTTACGTTTCACAGGTAGGCTAGTGTGCTGTCAATATCAAACGCACTTGTGACTTGTGTGCAGGTGTCCATAGGCGACGGTAGTCACTTACTATATTAGGTGACTCGCCTGCTCGCTTCATATGCCATAAAAAACTTAACTCATATCGATTTTTATGTCAAGAAGAGTTGTTGAAAATAATAAGTTATATAAAAGTTGAAATATTATTAGTAGCGACCATTGAATGAAAACAGGTAAACTAACATTGTTAGCCTTTACTGTGGTACAATATCTTATAATTATTCCTTGCTTCTTTAGTGAGAACGTGCCGTGGTCCAGTTTAGAACAGCGCAACCACATTCGTATCCGCCGTGACTTTCATTTATGGGCTCTCAAAAATATACAATCGGTGTTAACAGAACAGTTGGAAAAGAAGTCTGTGGCTATACATTGTGTCAGTATCGCCACCATATTGTACCAGAGGTGTATTTGTAGGTAAAGTATTTTGTTTGTTTATTAATATTTCAACCAGTTCAGAAAAATCTGGATCACTTGATGTTGTAATACCAGAAATATACCTAAGAGCAGAGTAGTTGTTTTGGCTGTCTGTCAAGATTGAAGTAGATAAATAAATTAAAATACATTATCGTATCACTATGTAATATCAAATAAAGCCCCCACAGCGACTTTGGCATTTATCGCTTTCAGATAGACGGACCTATCGTATGCGATAAATGCCAAACATACTGAACAACTTTTCATATAATTGATACTCTTGGATAGAGTGATTCATGGGGAAGGTTTAAGTCTATTTGTTGAATCAAACCATACTATACCAACCCGTCTGGCCAGGGTGGTAGTAGGCCAAAACCTACTTTCTAAGGAGAGACCTATGTCCAGCAGTGGACTATTAAAGGCTGTTGATGGTGCTGATGATAAAAGTAAATGATTTCAGCAAAGCTAGGTATGACGTCACGCCTTAGTATTTCATACAAAAATGTAATGCGTTTTGACGTTTAGTAAAAGATACTGATTTGATTCAATACTCATCTACCCTATTACATTTGTTATGTTTCTTTTTTGGCCAGGTTCCAAGATATGTGTGATTTCGACGACCAGACTACACTAGGATGTTTAGAGGTGTTCAAAATTTGCCTGACGCTTCTATTCTCACCGACGTACTCGTTTAAAATTGATGCATTGTTATCAGCGATAAGTAAGCTTTATTTATGTAATTGCATGTTATGTAATGTATGATAGGTATTGGTTTGGTATTTTGTTCATGACAGGTATCTGAATGTGATATGTAAGTAAACTAGTAGAACTCGACACACATTTAATGAAAAAAAGAGGCAATGTTTATAAGGTTTAATTCAAATTATATAAATGTAAACACATGTATCTAAATACTACGTACAAATATTACTTCAATAATAAAATTATACAGATTTTTATCACTAAATTTAATGAATCCATTATTGCGACTAGTGGACTAATAACCAAACCTGTTTATATATTATTTTCTTTAATAATTATATGTTATAATAAATGTTTGCATGTTGGTTCCATTTTCGTGCTCTAACGTTAAGCCAATTTTGATAAATTTTGGTATTGAGATAAAGACGAGAGAGAAATAGGTGAGGGTTATAAGCTTTTTGTCGCGAAATTAAATCGTATAGGAGGAACTTTTATTAATTTTATAGCAGACATTTTCTAATTTAAAAATTTGAAACTAATTAGCATTATTTACCATTACACAGCGGATAGTACTGAACCCTCACCAGCAGCTTACATAGCAATAATCCTGGAATCGATCCACTCAGCTCTACAGCACATAGAAGACGAGAGTGTACCAGATGAACGGGACCTAGTTGTAAAGAAACAACTGGCAATGTTGATACAAATAGCCACCTTGCTATTTGAAGTGCCTGTCACGTCTTGTCCTGCTATGACTGGGGTTGGTAAATGTTATTCTTTATTGCATAAGAAATCAGTATTTTACATTTTATAGCAATAAAGCACTGTACTTGTGTATGTAGAGAAATTCAAAGTCAATATTGATTTTTAATAATTTATAAGTTAATCATTAATTATACAGATTTTTTTAAACTCCCAACAGATATTCAGAATATCTATAATTGGTTTACAAGGTATAAATGATTTTGATACTTAATTAAAAATGAATATGTTTAATTTCATAAAGCTCGCCGATGTCAAGCAAACATTTTGAGATCTATTGTGAGAATGCATCTTATTCGGTCGATGTTGTAGTTAAATATATATTTACTTAAAAATTTCCATTACATGTAATTATTACTAATGAACGGGATTTATCGCGTTTCATAGTTTATTATATTTACCTTTGATTTGCTTGACGTTTCGATCAGCCGCAATGCCCTTTTTACAGTCGCAGGTTCATTCCGTTTGTGGCTATTGACATGTAACGTGTTATTTCCATTTATGAGAAATAATTATAGACTATTTATATAATAATATTTATAAAATAATTAGTATAATTTTATTGTATATCTGTTTTTTTCTGCAGATAATAGTTAAGTATGAAGATTACATCCGAAATAGTAAGCAAGACTGCTTACCCCTCATCGGAGCAGTGCTAACCGCAGGGGCGCGCGACCAGCAGGAGTCACAGATGATGGACGAGTTACTCGGAAAACTTGCCTCGGCCCTGGGCAGGATTGACGTAAGATTATTTACTAGAACTATTATTTACATTACTTAATCATTATATACACTTGTTGATTGCACGGATGATGTTGTGGGTTCGATCCCCACATGGTACAACATTTTATGTGATCCACAAATCGTTGTTCTGATTCAGGGTGTGCTTTGTGTCCGTTTCATGAATGTTTGTAAAGCGACCCAGGATATTTTCCTAGTGCGGAAGTTGTCATTAAACAATACATTGATTATTTAATACCATTTAGTAGCTGACAAGTTCACGATCTGCCTGGTCATAATTGGTTATTATAGCACAACATACGGTATATAAGATAAGAACTTGGTTTCAGCAATGCCTTTGAGACTGTTGACTTTCAAGTCTCCCGTGGCAATATCATAACTTGTCTATCTTAAAGGATTGACTTGTTTTATTGTGCCTAGTTGATTTAAAGGTAGCACACTCACACAAAAGTCATGTCAGCACGGTACACTAAACCACTTGGCGTACCACAGGGCTCAATCCTATGACCCTACCGTTTCCCAATTTGATTTAATTAAATTAATTGAGTTTATTTATGTTATTATCTTCTTGACGTATTTTATCCGATATGAATACATTGGATTTCTCTTTGGGGCAAGCATATTTTTATGGTACAGGGGCAATCGTGCAGAATGGTATATGTTTGTATTTACGAGTACGTATTCTTGTATGTACGTATATTGCTTATAGTTGCATTCACTAGGTATTGTTGATAGGTCAAGGATTTTATCTAAAATAACAATGTATTATCATATTTATTTCTATTCAATTTCAACTCAAATTCAACAATGTTTGCACTCTCAAAAAAGGAACCTGATAAGAGAATTATGCAATGAAATCTTATCAGTATGTGCCATACCTATGTAGGTCTTTAATTACGAAAAGATTCCTTCTACGATAATATTAACTTGATAAGTTGTGATTAGGCGGGTCCACACAGGGCGAGCATACTCGTTCAGCATTTGCCGCGCGAAGCAGCTCAGCCTGTATGGACGTGCCTTGGCCGCGGGCGAGCGACCTACCGGCCGACCAAACGAGTGTCGGTTTTTTGTTTTGCTCAAAGGCGCCTCGGTAAACGACCGAGGTGGATGCACGCGTGTTTTATTTCATGCCTCGCTTGAGCATATCAATTTTTGATGTAGAGTATGATGAAATGCCAAAGAGAGACTGCATTTTTCTGCCACGATGTCTTAGCTCTCAACTGAACGAACAAACAAATGACTAGGGCGTGCCGTGCGCAGCAGCCTCGCGATGATGTGCTGTAGCGCTCGTTCGCGGACAGATTTGTCACACGGCAAATGCCTCGCGAGGCTTTCTCTTTTAATAGTCCACTGCTGGAAATAGGCCTACCCTTATAAAGGAGGTTTTGGCCTACTATGTCATGCTGGCCAAATGGGTAGGTATACGGCTTGTTTCCAGTTTTCCTACTCTTTGTAGGGCTGTTGTCCTGCTTAGTTTGTTCCCTTCCCTAAGAGCGGACTCTTACGACACCCATAGGATAAACATATATGTATATACGTACACACATACATTATGTCATTAATTATAAATTTGAAAGATTTTGTTTCTAATAATATTAATTGTAAAATTCTTAGGAGGAAGACACGTCACTGGCTACACAAGAAACTAGCGAGTACTCCACGATCGATGCTCGGTCTGGACACGGAGTGCTCAGTACCATTTGCACGCACCTGGGCGCGCGCGCTAAGGGCGTGGAGCACCTGCAGGCGCGGGCCCGGGACCTCGCGGCTGCGCTGCCCTTCGCCACACACGCCACCTCCCAGAGGATTGAACGTGGTGCGTATTTACACTCTCATGGAAGACATATCTTTAACCTGTCAAAAGGTCGTCGCGACGTCAAAAAAGGAAAAGCGTGTTCCCGTGTTCGTGTTTGTGATCATATGCTAATATGAATGAATTAAATAGTAATGGAATAAGTCTAGCTATATAATAACAAAACAAATAAAAAAAACAATACGTTTTTTATTAGCGTTCAAAAGTCTGTCATGCAGTCGTGAGCGTGGCGTGCTGACCTCATTTTGCTTTGTCATGTATTAATCGATTGACCGCTTTCAGTGTTTACCGAAGTCAAGTCTGGTTAAGTATTTATTTGACCAGACTGACTTTGGAAAGTTGCACTCTCACATACGATAAATTTGTAAGCCCCGAGATCTCGACTTTTTTCAAATTTTCTTAATTTTTTTGTTTCATCTGGAACAAGCATTAAATTAACACAAGCATAATTGACGTAAATATCGCATATAAACTTTAGAAAATACTTTTTTTATACTTATATATTACTTCAATAAATAATGATTTAGGAAATGGTAATTAATTATAACTTAATTAAAGATACATGGTGTTACTTACGTTTGCATTGCTGTGATGACTAGTTTCTGTCTCGACATGGGTCCTTTATCAAGAAGTTAAACGATATGATGTCGCAAAGGCATGCCTCTATCACTGAAATAACGACTCTTGTTACCGATAAAATACTTTTCTTATATATATTTTTTCATTTCTAGAAATAACAGACGTCTACAAGTCCTTAGTAGTGCAGTTGTGTCAGATGACGTCATGGACCGCAAAGTGCTGTAAACTAAGGTGTAATGTTGGCGGGGGCAGCGAGAGAGTGTTGTCAGCCACCGTCAAGTTGTATTCACTCCTCGCCGCTATGGCCAAGCAAATTGATATTCACGTCGCTCAGCAAGTCCGGTAAATATGACATATACTAACTGAAAAAACAGTAAAGATCATTCCAATGAGTTAAAATTAGTAAGTTATAGATTAAAATAAAAATTCGCAAAAGATATTAGTTTTTAAACATTATATGCAGTCAAATGGTCATTGTTAACTATGCTTGGAATCTGATTCGTCAGGGGCAGGGCTTGCTTGATGCGGGCTGAAAGCGAATGTAGTCACTATTAAACCGTAAAACAGTGTTTGTGTTAAGATTCTTGTTTCGTCATTTCTAATTCGAGACGATCCTAATACTCTCTATCGTTAGTATAAATTTAAATTTAGTAATTATTTTTCTTTCATTTCAGTTTCGAAGGACTATTAAAACAAAGCGGCAAAAAGTTATCAACAGTGACTGACAACTTCATCACCTATTTAGAAGGTGCTCAGGAACAACAGCATAACGCGAGCAAAGTATTGAGAGAAACGAAGCTCATTCCAAAACTTGTGTTAGAGGCCGAGCAGTACAGCAAGAGGGTCATACTACTCGCCTCTAAGGCAAAGGTAAGAAATTGAAAGGGTGATCTAATGGCTAGGAGTAAACCTATGTTTATGTCTGTGTATTTGTTAGTTTGCCCTCATGAGGTGTTGGTGAGATTTTAATAATTGTGTAGTAAAACTAAAAAACACGCTTTAAACTGAGTTAAAAGTAAATGGAAGAGTTCTATTCTGCACCTTTTGGTTACATTGTGGAGGAACGGGTGTCGTGTCCCTTTAGCGCAAAGGAATGATTCTCTGACCAGGCGAGGTGATCATGCCTGGCGGACCGCCGAATCGGTGCGATACAGGATAAGCTGTTTTCCCGTAGTTCGATGAGTCTTCGATAGATGGCACTGTATATATTTTTGTATTTGCATACGATACCTCGTTTATTGGGGCAAGGTTTGCAACTCCTATCACGCGCCATTTTGCACCACTAGCATTAGAACGCTTGGGATACTTTAATATAGTCAAGTCCGAGCCGGAGATCCTTCAAACTGTAGACCATGAAATCAAGAGGCTTACAGACGATTCAAGACTCTCCAAACTCGGCAACCCTCCTTAACTTTATCATCATAAAATTTATTTGGGGTCAGTGCGGAGTTTTCTTCTTCCATCCACTCCTACATTTCCTTGCGAAAAGGTTTTGGCAATCCTCCTCAACTTTAATCGTGGCTATTTTTGCTTTTTGTTTTCTAGTTGAACTGGCAGCAGTACCTATCACTGGGCACGGCTCGTGACTTCCGTATCAAAGCACCTATTCTGGAACAAGCTTTGAATGCTAGGGAGGAAGTGAACGAGACCAGAGATGAAGGTATAATTCTATTTGTAATAATATGATTACAAGACTCATAAATAAATTACTCGTATACTAGACTAATAATATCAGTAAATTAACCGTTTATAAATAAATGATTGAAATTCTGAATATAAATGAATACTATAATATAAGTTTATCTCCTAATAGTGTGTAACGATTTATCTTGCACATTTTGGTGTTTTCTCATAAAATTTAAGTAGACTTTTAGTTACTATTTGGTATATGTTTACAAAAGTGTAGCATAGATGGCGCTGCTCCAGTTTTTTAATTATTTCTTTTACAGATGATGTAGACATAAATGATGCTGCAACAGAAATTATCGATCGCCTCAGCGATGCGGAACCAGATGACAATGATGACAGTAACGAAGAAACTTCTAGAAAAAAACGTAGAAGAGTTTCTTAAAATACTTTCATCAACTGAGCTAAAAGGACGTCTACGACTCCTAAATTTTTATATTAAGCGTTCTAAACGTTGGTTATATCTGACCTGTTACTGATTCTGATCTGATTATACCTAGTATTTTTTCGGTACAAGGACCCTAAATAGAGGGGGCTTGAACTCCCCTCATAAAAAAAATATATATATAGATTTAAATGCAAATACGTTTCATTGAACTTTTAAATCTCAAATTTTAATGCTTTCCGGCTTTCAACTTAAATACTGTTTTATGGTACGGTATGTGGGGCAAACATGCAGACGGGACCACTTGATGGTAAGTGACTATCCCCGCCATGCAACCACCCTTGCAATTTAACAGTCAGTTCCCGCCCCTTAAGTCGTCCAGATTCTTGGAAGAGGTGGGGTTTTGGACCCCGGTGACCTGACTCGATAAAAAGTAAATTTCTCTTTTAAAACTGGTCGTTTTTCTTGAATCTCGCTGCGTTTATGGTTTCTTAAATGTGGTACCGTGATAAACTTACACTATGACCTGCTTTAATGAATATTCTGTCCTAGTCCTTCCCATCAATTTGTTCGTTTGCCGCCAATTGGCAAAATCACATATTCTCAACAACAACAATAGCAATAAATTAACAACATGTTATATTATGTACCTATATTACAATAAATACTTGTTATAATACAGTGTTCTTCATTTCCCCTTTATATTACTTGCTATAGTAATGGCCAATACGCGAAACATAGGTAAAGGTGTTCGGGCATTCATGATTATAGTTCATTCGCGTTAAGAAAATAGTGACGCATCGATCAAGTACAGCCCCTGACTAATCCAGGTTCACAGAAATTATCGTTTCGTATGAAGCTGTGAATCTGATTGGCTTGATCGATGCGTCACACATTTTTAACGCAAATGAACTATTAGTTACAACTAGTTTGGTTTCGTTTTGATATTTGCTAGAATTACAAATCGTCAGTTATGTTCTAACAGCGCGTAAGTTGAAAGTGTCTGCTATACAAGCGAAGGTGGGCCAAATGTATTGTTCCAGTTCATGTGAAGATGTAACTGTTTTTGTAACAACTTTTTAACAGAATGTCGTGCTATTTATCGTCTTTCAGCTGGAAGTGTTAGCAAATCCCATTAATGATCCCTTACGGATTATGAATCAACAAACAATTAAGTGACTTCAACATATCGCCTGTTGTATTTCTACACCGAAACGATCTTCAAAGTGTGCTTTACCTCAGCAAAATAATGTCGAAAATGGTTATTTAAATGTTATAGATAATTAGTTGCTCCGCTTTTGTAATTTATTGTTAGGCACATTTTGAAATTTGTTTCACATTAAGTTTTCTGTCTCTCTAGAACAACGTTTTATATGAAATCTAGCAAAAACGTTGTCAGCGAAAACTTGAATATCTTTGCAGTTTATTGACACAAAAATTTCATTTAGACATATACAATTACCTTACGTCATACACTAATTTTTGAAACCATTTTTTTCTTCTACGTCGATAGGAGGAAAAAACAACCCACTGGGCAAATGTTGTCCCACCTGATTTTCGTGAAAACCTCCCCAATGGTTGCATGTACAAATTTTTACTTACCATACATAATTCATATTGAACTTTTTCCGCTGGGGCAATGCACACTTTCGTTAGTATACTGTAAGTGACTAAAAAATTATAATGAAATGTAGCTCTCCACGTTCACGATTACGATGTGCGCGGCCTTTTTTAGCCACTCATAATCCTGTATGTGGATATATAAACTGAATGTTATATCAATAATTAGTTGCTCAGTTCAGTTGTCTACCTGTAAAATCTCGTAGTACATACTATAATTAACTAGATAATTGAATAAAAGTCAAAAGAATGTGCAAGACCGTGGTAACCCGACCATGTTTAGGTGGTTACATAAAAGCGATCGCCCAGTACATTATGCTGCCTTCTAAAATGTTTCGTATAATACACCAACCGATCTTTGTCGCAGTAGCAGTTAAGAATACCAAAATAAAATTAACTAAACACCGCCAGTTTTGAATGTCTTTATTTTATTGACCACTATAAATTGGACTGTTGTATAGACTTTTGTGTACCAAAAAAGATCCGAATATATACTGCATACCTATTGCTTCATATACCCGTTTGTAAAAACGGGTAATGAAGCTACTTAACCTAAAGTACATTTGTTTAAAAATTATAGCTTTGTGCACTTATTCGACATAAAAAAGGAATACCTACTTCTGTCATATTTGTTTAGAAAGGGGTATGAAGGATAATACTATTATAAAGGCTTAATATTCAGCCGAATGGAGTTATTATATTATTTTAGCATCTCCAATATTCTCGTGGGAATGTCACTTATAGCTTTCGTGCTACATTTATACCTATTATGAAAATAATAATAATTAGACTTGCAACGAATAGTATATTCGGCAGTATACCGAATACCGAATATTCGGCGAGGCCCCTGACCGAATAGCCGAATATTAGGCAAAAGTATTCGGCTGGATTTTAGCGCCAAAAATTTGTACAGACGTGAATTAAATTATGTACCTGTTTTATGTACCAATGACTACTTAATAAATGATTATAAAAGAAATGAGAACCTTACCCTTCTAAATTTTGATTACCACAATAATTCAAATACATAGAATCCTCCATTTTTCCTATTCAGAAGATGATAATGTACCTGTGTTATGCACCAATGACTACTTAAATGATTATACCAGAAATGAAAATATGAATATATAAGTAATCAATCGATTTTAATTTTTCATTTTACCAATTATTTCTCAATGACAAAATATATTATTTAAGTATTCGGTATTCGGCCGAATAATATGTAGATATTCGGTATTCGGCCGAATATAATAAAATCAGCCGAATAGGCCGAATACCGAAGAGTAACCGAATATTCGTTGCAAGTCTAATAATAATACATTCACACATCTCACACACGGCCGTCTGATTCCAAACTAGGCAGAGCCTGTGTTATGGTAACTAGACCGCCGATAAACATTTATTTATTAAGATACCAATAATATACCAAGGCAATAATATACCAAGATACCAAGGCAATATCTAAGAATTTAAATTACATAATTAAAGACATAAATAACAAAAGACATATAAATAATTTGCATCCATATAAATAATGAATGCAAATTATTTATATGTCTTATATGTCTAACATACTTATAAATTTCTAAATTCATACATATTATTGATAATATTACACCCAGACGCAGAACAAATCACCGTGCTCATCACACTCCGGCTTAGCAGTCAGGATCACTAACCAATAGACAAACAGGCCTGTCAAATATTACATATCTATTGAAATAAATCACACTAAGATTGTTATCAAGTTTTATAGAACAATATAATTATTACGATATTGATAAAATACATAAATAATACTTCTCGATGTTCGACTCATGTTTACCTACGTAACGTATTGAAGCAAAACATTCAAATTGTTTGAAACTTTCAAATTCCCAGATATAGATCACGTATTTCGCATTGCGTCTCAGCGGTTCCATGGTGTAACGGTTAGCACTCTGGACTCTGAATCCAGCGATCCGAGTTCAAATCTCGGTGGAACCTGTTTTATTATGCCATTATGAATTTTCAAATTTTATGTAAAAATAATAATAATAAAATAAAATAAATTATTATACGAAGCATAACACAATAATGTCACAACAAAAATTTAAGATTTTTATGATTTACAAAGTGCCTCCTGATTTAAATGATATTTTGTACAGTGACCTTCTATCAAGAAAATTTCTGAATTAAGTAACAAAATCTACATCTTAAGGGGAGTCTAAAACCTTGGGGAAAAGCTAAAAGCTCTCCATAGAATCCGACCTTAAAAAAATTATTACTTCTCGAATAGTAAATTAGATGTTATTTTGCATTCATCTTAAGGGTCTGTGCATTTTCGTCTTTCTTACAGGACAAACACCTATTGGACAAATACCTATTAAATAAAAACAATATATTAAGACAGCTCGCCAGCGTTTACATATAACTGGTTCAAAACAATCAATGCATAAAATTTTACATGTAAATACATATATACAATATGGCCAAAACCTCCTTTCTAAGGAGAGGCCTATGTCCAGCAGTGGACTAGTATAGGCTGTTGATGAATATTAAAATTATGATGAGATATATGTTTTTTGAAGACCACAGATTGTAGAACATGAAAATCAAAGTTATTACATTGGTTTACACATTATTAAAAATCTTATTTGCTTTTAAAACAAATTGATGTATCCTTTAAAATACGTCAAGTCTTAAAATCACTCGAAAATTGACCAAGTTTTTGGTACATAATTTTAATTAGATGAGACCTTCAAAATCAACACTATAAAATAATATAAACTATTGATCGAAGGGTGATATTACTAGGAGAATGACGGACTAAGTGGGGTCACAATACTCGCAAGTTTAGGTGGTCTAACTAAAATAATGACATTTTATTTCCTTAGGGTCTTAGAATGATAACCGTTGGTATCATTATGGTACATTACTTCAAAAATAGTTAATAACGTAAAGACAATTTAAGGTATGCGACGGGCCTTGGACGCCTGATAAAAATAGGCCCTCACACTGGTGCGTGGAGAAATCTTAGTTTAGACAGGCGCTTGGATTAATTTGCTGCCACGAGATCTGTTTCTGTCGGTGTCCGACCGGCTCGACAGGAGTACCACGTCCTTACAGAAAACTGGTGGTAAGAAAATTCTTTGGTTGGTTTTCACCGAGTGAGTGTAGTTACCACCCAAAACCTCCTTCCCCCTTTTGAGGAAGGGGGCTGACTCAAAAGACGGCAACTCTCTTATGACTCTTGAGTAATAGGTCTCCATGGGCCATAATAAAATACTATAAAAAATTGTACTATTGGTCAGTCGATTAAGTATTTGATTCCCTGTCCCTTGACTCTATTCCCTTGCTCCGTCTAAAAACTATTACATTTTCTTGGAGGGCAGGCGTCA